CCCCCCAAATGTAGCGCTACTTGCTTTGGCTGAAGCTACAGTTTGTCAGGGGTCAGAGGTCCCCAAACGTTTCAGTCACCACAGGGTCACTTTGTAACCCAATAGCCAACCTGTAAAAGACAAGACAATAGAAGTACCTTTTCTGGTGGCCTGTGTGTAAAAGCGCCACTGCTTCACTTCTCCATGACCACTGCAGGCATTCAGTACTTCGAGTTTGTGGAATACCTGCTTCCCCGCTGCACACTGGTTCCTCTCTCCAGATTGTATGGTTGCCGCAAAGGTAAGTATATGGTCTCTTCTTTTACTGGCTGACCTTTTATGTGCAAGTGAGCCAGTGGTGGCAAGGAAACTAGTACAGTGTATGACAAGTTGCATTGTCCAAAGAAAGCTGTTGAATGTCGACATTAAGCTGGAATCTAGTTACCTTGGGCAACATGGATCATTTTCACAGACAGATTCTTCTACTGTACTCTTGCTACATGTTTCTGTTGGACTTGATAGAAGTTATCTTCTTTCTTTTGCTGCAGGTTTCGTCATATATTTTGGTTATGGCATATGGAATAGTACAGAAGCTGCGGGCTCCAAACCAGAGAGGAATGACGCTGATTATAAAAGGACCAATGGATTAAACAATGAGAAACAAGCTTTTCTAGACATAGATGCTGCTAACACAACGACTGCGTGATGCCCCCCGGAAGTTAGGTCTTTCAAGGCGATGTAACTACTACATTTAGCTGAAACCACAGAGAATGACTTTACCCAAAGCTTGCAACCCGCACAAAGCATTCTACGTCAGATGAGCTGCTCTACTTCCAGCATGGTAGAGCCAGAGTTACGGTTACCTCTCAGTGCTGCTACTCTGGTCTTGTACCATTAATAGATCTTGCTTTAGGATGGACCAGATTGATTGAATGTCCTATACGGATCAAGTTCCCAATTTCTATTGCAGCAGGCAGAAAACATATTTATTTTTATTTTTTTTTAAACTTGATGCTTCTGTTCGGTAAACAAAAGAAATATCATATGTTTGTATTAGAGGATCTCTCATGCAATTCCAAAGCCTGCCAGTCTGTAGAAGAGGGATCTTGTGTATTACAATTGGCCAATATGTTTGGGGTATGGTTATGAATGGGACATTTCTTGCTGATAGCCTGAAATTCTGAGCAGAAACAGCCGATCGAGCTCAACTGATGCTCATTTTATACCTTGAAGAAATGTTAACTTATTAATGTTTTTATACTTATTTTTTTTTTTTAAAGTAAGATTGCGGTGCAGGGCACTTCAAAGGGAGACCCCAATTTTAATGGTCTTATGATTTAACACTGTGCGGTCATCAGCATGCACAACACATACACTGTAGTGATAATGATTATGAGCAAACTGTGGCAACCAATAATAGTTTACTGCATTCTAATAAGGGCGGTAACATTACTAGCTACCATTGGTTACTGCAATTTGTATTTAATCATTGCTATTGTAGTACCTTATTAAGTATGTCCGTTTTATGTACATGATATCCAGCCTGATGACTTTAAAGTACAGGCGTCCCATTGTATAAAATACAGTGTACTGTTCCCTCCCCGTTTCCCCATCTATTATACCAAAGCTCATATGCAGTGCTGTCCCACTTTACACTGCCCATCTCTCTGCTGCACCAGGCTGTGTTTACATTCAATTTTCTCCTAATGCCTGAGCTCCAGTGCACAAGCTCGACTACAGTCTCTATAGAGATGAATGGGAGAGCTGTGTTGGGGGTGCGGGGAAACCTGTACACATTTTTCCATTCACAAGTACACATTTACTTTTAAATAAGCCCTTGGATATCAGAGGTCCCTGGTCAGATTTCGGCAGGACCGAATGACTGTTGGGATGAATGGCATTCTTATCGCTGGGAAAAGGCGTAGGCTGATTTGGAGGTTGGTGGCAGATACAGTATTGTTCCTTATGACAGTGTTAAGAGTGATACCAGTGGTGTCTGCCTGTCACATAAGCATGTATACCTGTTTTACATATTTGATGGGACAACAAATATTTGGCGGCTGGTTTGTATACTGACCTCCAGCCCCAGTAATATGCTTGCTTGGTAAAACACTTGAAGAAACTGGGACCATCTACAAAATACAGTAATCCATAGAAGTAAATCGGATTACAAATTTCACCAGTATGAGCTAACTGATTGTCAAGGCTAGCAGTGAGTAGATCACCCAAACCTGAATTTGCACCCTCTGACCCTTGGAGAGCTAATAGTCATGCACCTGGGCTCACAAATTCTTCAGCTCATATGAACTGGTAGATGGTGGTTCATTTGGATTTCTTACTGGTTCACTTGCTTGTTGGGAGAACCAGTAGTAGTTCAATTCAATGGCTATGGGTCCATGAATAATACCCCATGCAAGGCAGGTCTAGCTGATTTAGTACTTTCTAAGTAGATTTACTCATTACTAGCAATGGATTACAGTTCCTGGCATGTCTTTTGGTTTATTGAACAAGTTTTATTAATGTCCATAAATTCCTTATTTTCTCCTGAAACAACTGTGTGGCCTGTACAGGTCATTTCTGTGTGTGTGTGTGTTGGGTTTCCCTTTGCAATCATTTTGTTTTATCTTCCTGACCGAACTTTTCCCTATGATTTGTGTTTTTAAACGTTGAATTGCTTTTTATCCTCCATTTATGTTTCATTATGAAGTACAACACAATCTGGTCCTTTTTTATGAATGCGTTTTTAATATGTTTAAATTTCAGGCATCTGTCTGTATTGGTTTAAACTTGAAGACTAGTCCATAGGTATTATAACAAGGGGATACCCAGAAGGTCAGCATATCTTTTACAGAGATCCAATTCAGTTAACAGAACACATAGTTCTGGAACTGCAGTTTTATTAAGAAAGGGATTCTGTACAGTAAATAAAGGGCAGACATTATTCCAGTTTAGCCATAATCTATGGTCTCTTCATTATAGAGTGCATTAAAATCTACATCCTTTCTATCTCATTAGTACAGACAATCACTTGTAATCTTCCACTGTGCCTGGAAATATAAAAAATGACAAACTGGATTCTATTTAGTAACTAGTAAGCAATGAGCAGTGTGCAAAATTCAATGCTGTGCAGTATTTCTTGGTAGTCTATCAGCATTTTTTTGTGTCGTAGCCACATTTTGGTTTAAAAAAACAACTATCTGGTTGCTATGGGTTGTTACTCGCCTTCCACACTTTGCAGGTTATTAAATATGTGTAGTGTAGGGATGCCAAGGTGTTTTGCTGTTTGCTTGGGAATTCCTAAGGGCCCATTCACATTATTGTGCTGCTGGTGCAAAGCCATGCAGTGCCATTCATTCTGAATGACACCCCAGCACACCTTGCTGATGAATGTGCCAAAAATGCTTTGCACACATGTTTTGGTGCGTTGGGCATCTAATTCAAATGAATGGGCCACCTTATCGCAACGCACTTTGAACGTCCGTGTGCTTATGCACTGCAGTAGTATGAGTTCTAAAGAAATAAGCTGTGCAAGCTGCTGCTCATTTCTAGCTGACAAAGGCATAAGGTGCACAGAGATTGAAAATTATTTTTTATCCAGCCAATTACAATTGGATTGTTAATCATATGTCTGTTGGTCATTCCAAAGCCAACCAATCTCTGGTCAGTTATCCTGTATGGATCTTTCCAAATAATTTTTTGATATAAAATTGGCTGTGGTGCAGTCTGTATATATGCAGTGTATATACCCAGCCATTGCAAGTGTACATGTTTATGCCACGGTAATTGTTCAGAAAACCCATGCAATAGACTGGTCTTCCGACCACTGTCATGCGTGTTTTGGAATGTATACCCTGAAAGCAAGGTCCTTAGGATGGAAGCCTATGGAATAGAAAGGTGGTCTGATCTTTTGACTACAATTTATACTATGCAACTGCTATTCCTGCTGTCTAGAACTCTTTACTGGGCAGGACTTCAAGTATTGATGATCTGTAGATATGTATTTTACTTCGATGTAATTGCAAGCAACATTTTGTTTATACCAGTTTACTATTTGTTGTCCAAGTACACGGGACTTCATTCATGCAAAACCTAGTAAAAGTGAATGTCCTTAAGCATAATTTGGCAGTGGTGTGTAGTAATCCCCAGCAAACTAGCACAAATCTGCATTAAATATTCTCTCTGCACCTCTTCTTTAATAAATGTACCTTTTTAATATTTATTATTACATTATTGTAATGGGCATTCCTGGCAACATGAGTAAAAACGTCTTGCGCATTTCATCCAAGCATGTGCTTACTCTCTATGATCAAATATATGTCCCATCGCACTCCTGACCGGAAACAAACCCAAAAGTCGGGCGGGTGCCACAGTGACTGCAGAGGCCACCGCCAGTAACATGAAATCAATAGTCACTCGCACTTCAATTTCATAGCAGTCCTTTATTGACTGACTATAGTAGTGTCACATTCAAAGCGACGTTTTGGAACCAAGTGGTTCCTTCAGGCAAACAAAAAAAAATCACTTTCTGTTTGCCTGAGGAAGGAACCACTTGGTTCTGAAACATCGCTTTGAATGTGACACTAATTTCATAGTCCATTTCTTTTTTTGACTATAGTAGTGTCACATTCAAAGCGACGTTTCAGAACCAAGTGGTTCCTTCTTAAGGAAAACAAAAAAACAAATCACTTTTTGCCTGGAGAAGGAACCACTTGGTTCCGAAACGTTGCTTTGAATGTGACACCACTATAGTCAAAGGAATTGACTTCCTATGAAATTGGAGTGCGAGTGACTATCGATTTTCATACTCTCTATGATCAAGCGCATGTTTGCGTGAAAGGCTGGGTTCACACCTAGGCGTATTCAATATGTGCATTTGTCACGCGTTTTTACCGCGATTCGCGGTAAAAAAAAGGGTGACAAACGCGTGTTTCCGAGGGCTACCTGGCTGTATCCCAATGGATACGCGCGTCAAATACGCCCCAAAGAAGCTTCTGTACTTCTTTGGGCGTAGGGCGTTTTGCAGCGCGTTCCTACGCTCTGTAAAACGCCCAGGTGGGAACCATGCCCATAGGCAATCATTGGTTTTCACATGTTGAGCGTTTTACCGAGCATAGGAACGCGCTGTAAAACGCCCAGGTGTGAACCAGGCCTAACACTCCTTGTTAAAATGTAGCGGTCTTTCCCCTTCCTAACCACTGAATTGCTCTGTGTGTCCCTAGTTATTTAATCTCTTTGGCCTGAATCAATTCTACTTTTGGTTCCAGAATGGATTTTGACTTTTTTTTAAGTGAATTCCTTTTATCCTTCAGTTTCCAGTAACTGTGTGACCCTGTATTATTTTCTGTGAAAAATGTTCAGTCTTTTAGGCAGTGCTTGCCATTTTCACAGCCTTGTCTGTGGAATGTGTTCAATTTACCAAACAATCCTGTATTTAAGGCCTGATTCAAGAGATTGGGAGACAAAGCGCATGAAAAGCACATTAAGCTTGATGATAGACTCGTGCTTTGAGTATTGTATCTGATCATTAAGAAAATATGTGTAAGAAATGCCATTCTTAATTAAAATATGTACAAAGTCCAAAATTCTTTTTTTTTTTATATCGGCATTGGTCTGAGTACAAAATAATTAGTTTTATGGGGTCACTTTGAAGGTATCTGGGAGTGTAATACTGTTTATCGTACCCAGAAAGTTTTAGAAGCTCTGTAGAGACCATTCACTTGAACACCAACTACGTCTCTGGGCTCCCCAGCCTTCATTTTACTTGTGCAACCTCTGGCTTACAGTGTTGGTCTGTTCAGATAACGAACTGTTACATTGAATATGTGTACACATGGCATATTATAGCCTCCCTCGGATGTAGATTAAGAATTGTTTTCCATGATAATCCTATGCTGGAATACACTCAAGTCCAACTTCTTATCTGGACATCTTGTAAATATA